CAGCAATCTCCTCTGTGGGAACAAAGAACAGCGGCATGGTCAGGCGCACAGCCAAATGGGAAGGGCCCTGCCACAGCAGGGTGCCAGGCGTCTTTGCAGACCTTCAGGCACAGACCCATGTGGAGTGGTGGTGAGCGGTGGGGAGTGAGAAGGCCCTGCCAGGAGCAGAGGGCCAGGGACTTACGCTGCAAGTTCTTGTTCTCACGCTTCAGCGTTTCCAGGTGATCCAAGGACTCCTCATAGGCATTCTTCATCTTAAACAGCTCCGTGCTGAGAGAACGAGACTCCTTCTGGGAGGCTTCCAGCTCAGTCTGTGTTTCCTCATACTTCTGCTTCCACTCTGCCAGGATCTGAAGAGAAACGGGGCGTGAGTATGGATGTGGCAACCAGGAGGGGAAGCTCTGCCCATGAGCCCCAGGTCTGGAGCCCAGAAGACCTTGTCAAAGTTCTTCTGCTTCTTATCCAGAGCTGCGCAGGCAGCATTCGATCTCTCCACGTCAATCATCAGGTCCTCCACTTCATTCTGCAGCCTCTGCTTTGTCTTTTCCAGGGAGGCACATTTGGCATTGACAGCTTCAACGTGTTCCTCTGCATCCTGCAGGCGCTGTGCCAGCTTCTTCCTGGGAGGGCATAAGCACAGCTCACAGTTAGCAATGAAAGGGAAATTTGTACCATGATGCTTTTCTCAACAGCGTGCTTAGCCATTTTACAGTGTGTGGTCCACATTCCCCTTCTATTTGTCTACATACTACATGGTTTCTGTCTGCCATTCTCTGCCTGTTGGAGGTTTTTTTTTCCAGTTGTGCATTACAGAATATTTTTGCTATCCTCCTGCACCCCACTGTAATCCAGAACATTGGCTTCCTCCTGACAATATCACAGTGGTCTACTGAAATTTCTGCAGTTCACCCTCTGATATTCACTCTGCTATTCACACTAGCATCTCTCTGCTCTTCTGTTTCTGAAGAGCTTTGCTGCTTCTGCTTTTCCCCAGTGCCTACCTGCTCTCAGTTATGCTGTCTCTTCCTGGCACCCCATCCCAAAGCAGAATATTAACTTCTTCCTGACAATATCACAGTCATCTCATCCAATCTCCATTCTCAGTCTCTGCCAGCCTTCCCCACATACTTGGCCTCCTCCAGCTCCTCCGTGCGCTGGATAGCGTCCGTCTCGTATTTGGTTCTCCACTGGGCCACTTCACTGTTGGCCTTGGATAGGGCACGCTGCAGCTCCCCCTTGGCTTCCTGCCCCTCCTCATACTGTTCCCGCAGCAAGTCACAGTCGTGGCGAGCAGACTGCAGGGCATGGGCCAGGGCACTCTTGGCCTGCAGCAACAAGTGTATTGGGACAATGGATGTAAATATCCTGGGAAATCTCCTGACAAAAATTTTAATTCGACACTGGATTAGTCTTCTATGCAAAATGACAACAATACTTCGAATGGGAAAGAAGTTTGCATTGACAAAAGGAATAGTGCATAAACTCTGGGAAATATCTAACATGAGAAATTTGCAATGAATTACATATGTGGTTTTTTTGTCCTGCCTCATCATGATAATTCTGTAGTTGCATAACTTTCTGAAGCACTTCTTAGAAAGGAGGAATCCAATGTATAAGACAGAATTTGGAAAGCCTTCTCACCTTTATCTCTTCCTCTAGGTGCCTCTTGAGTTCCTCAATCTGTTGGGTGAATGCCTGCTTGCCTCTTGACAGCTGAGATACCAGAGCATCCTTCTCCTCCACCTGGCGAGAATATTCACCTGGAAAAGTTTACAGATACACAAGGCTTTTATTGCCATTGATGACAGGACTGTGGACATTTTGGGATGCAAAACTGGATAGTTAGCAGACTATGTAGAAGCTTATGATCCCATTTCATGCCTTTGTCATTAGAGAGGAGACATCGCATGTTGGACAGACGATGTGCCCAGAAGGGTCATTTCTGCATTAACTCACTGGCACTACACATTTTCACATCAGAGTTGGGTATGTCTTACCCGATTCTGTCTGCAGACGAGCTCTTTGAGCATTGAGGTCATTGATCATGCGCTGATGCTCTTCTTCTTTTGTCTTAATCTCACTTAGTTGATCTTCCAGTGCGCGACACATTTTCTCCAGACTTGCCTGTGTGTCAACATACAGAAGGGCAATGGTTAACCATCAACACTCTCAATAACAAGAGGTGCACAAAGTTGCACCGTATAGACTTCCACTGGGGCAGAAATACCTGTAAGGTATTTGTGTACCTTGGCTTTGGAGACAGACTCCATGTTACTGGCCAAGTCGTCAATCTCCATCTTCAGCTCGCTCTTCTCCTTCTCCAGCTTCTGCTTCACTCGTTGCAGGTTGTCGATCTGCTCCCCAAGCTCAGCTGTGCTGTCCGCATGCTTCTTCCGCAG